GGTTTCAATCATGCTCTCCACGTGGAACATCGCTCGTAGAGGAACCCTAATTGCCATCACCCAAAACTTCGATTCATCTTCTAACCGCCTTCTCTCCTCTAATTCAGTCCCTGTAAGCCAAGGTTTAAAAAGCATGCTATACTCTACTCCCATGATTGCCAGGTTATCCTCCACCTTCACAATCATCCACTGCGCCACCTCCCTTGATTTGGCAACGTACGGAACTACGTTTGGCCCTTCAGCATGTACCCTCCCTCTCTTTGTGGTGCGATCAAAGATCCGTTGCCTATACCAGCCATTCTCGTATGCCCTGATAAGATTTTCCCTCACTTTCATAGGCAGGTCCCAGGCTCAGGCTGGCTGCACCTTGAAAGATAATCGTCACCGTTCTTTCTTTTAACCAAATCGTGGCCAGTTCATCCAAACGAGGGTTGACAAAAAAGGTCTTGACACCGGCTTCCATCTTCCATTCTCCATGTCTGAATTTCTCCGGCAAGATCCCGTCGTCGTAGCACTTTGAAATGAGTAGGCGTAGTCTGTCTTCGTCCGAAAGTTGGATATCCAAGTGACCCGGAGGAGAGCGACCTCTGCTCCGTTGACCATGGGCCGATCCACCTTCGTCCGCCATCCTGTTGACGTCACCTCCAATCCAAGTTACTGTAGGCGACTCCTTCGCTCACTGTAGCTAGAGCTCACTTCTCCAACCTGACGTATGAAAGGCGAGCGCCTTCCGGCGCGCGCCCACTGCTAATCCCACTACTCCTTCACAACCTCCCTATGCTTCGCATGTGCTGCTCTTGATCACATCGGCAAATGTCACGTTAGCTGAGGGGTTGGCCTGTCCATCTTCCTCCTACACGGAGCCCGCTCGGAAATTATCGAGTATGAAGACCGAGTCACCAAGGTCATCATGGTGGTGACTCATGGTGATGGCCGAAGCAGTATTACCTACTGACATGGGTCTTAAAGCGATACACGCCAACCGCCATGCCCCCCCGGCCTTGAGACTTCGGGGAGTGAGGGCCCTACCGCCTCGTACACTGCGAAGCGCTGTGTTAGCGCTACGGAGCGCATCGGAGCGTTAGCGCTATTGCTACCGGAAGTCTCGTGACTCCAATTAGGGAGGGTGGATCATCACCTCAAGGCTTACACTTCCTTTTTTTTTTTTTTTTCTTTAAGCCCAGGTTGTAGAGCTGGGTTACTAGACAGATGGCAGTCACCCACAGTACTTGGCCACTTATTGTCCAGATGAACGCCTCTGAAGTCCCCACCCACCCTTTCTCTTATCTTTTTGCAAGGCTCACACGTTCTAGAATGAGCATAGCACCAGTGGGCCCTTGCTCCCTACCACGTTCGGACCTTTTGTTCTTCTCTCAGTTCAACTTCCACTACCTACCTCTACTCCTAAGGCTATACAGCGGAGTCGCGGACCCTTGCAAGCATAGCGACTCACTATGAAGGGATTCCATATTGCCCCTTTTTTGGCCCTGTTGCCCCAGTTGTTCAGATTGCGGCAGGGTTGGGGCCGCTGGTGAGGGCCCTGGCCCCGCAACTAACACAAGGATCAAGCATTTCCCAGTACCTGCGCCTCTCTTTCCATCTTCCCCTGCCCCTATTTCGCAGCCAAAGGCTGCGCCTTACCTGGTTCGACTTTTTTGTCGTCTAGCGCATTTCTTGTTTAGGCAAGTTTTCGCCGGTTAAGCGGGGTTTAGAGGGCGTCGAGAGGTGCATTGGAAGGGTGCAGTCGGGGAGGTGAAAACGACCGGTAGGCCGAGCGGTCGTCTCAGAGCTTAGAGGCTCTGCGACCGTGGCGGGTTGGGGAGGTCGTTCCTGTAACGACGGTGGTCGGCGGCCGTCGTGTGGTTTCGGTTTCCTTTTTGGGAACAAGGCCGGGGGACTCTCGACGTGCAAAATGAGACTGAATCCACCCCTAGAACATGGAAAGATACATTGTCATCTTTTTTGTCTTTTGTGCATCTTTTGTGGCGCAGCGAAAAAGGGAAAAAAAAAAAACAAAAACAGAAGGAATAGGCCTCAGGAAAAAAAAAACGGCCAGGCGCGAACAGAAGACAAAATATATGGCAATGTATCTTCCATGTTCTAGTGGAGTATTCATTTCATTTTGCACATCGAAGAGGCGCGTCGGGTCGGCCGCATCCTATCGATGGAAGAAGTACCATTACGCCAGCCGCGACGTTCGAGACTTACCTTCTCTCTCTCTCTCTCTCTCTCTCACACACACATACACACACACACACACACACAC